TTCTTTCTTTCTTTCTTTCTTTCTTTCTTTCTTTCTTTCTTTCTTTCTGTCTTTCTTTCTTTCTGTCTTTCTTTCTTTCTTTCTTTCTTTCCCTGCGTGGGACGACAGGCCCTGTTCCCTGTCAGAGCATGGAGGATTCAGTTTATATTCTTCAGGTTCCACATCCAAGGTCAGAGCCAAGGAGGACTCTATGAGATTCCCCTTGGAGACATGTAGACAGCCCAGCCTTCCATTCTTATCTTCTGCTTGCTCCACTATAAATCACTCTGGTGGCCCTCCTCTCTTGACTGTTCCGAAATAGGGGCATGACCTCAGGGTTCTTTGCTGTCTGGTGCCAGAGTGTCGGGCTTCTCCAGCATTTCCAGCTGCTGTATGTAGCAAGTGCTGCTTCTGTAAATCATCTCCTGCAATCTCTGTGCAGATAGAGGCCAAACAGCCAGGAGGGGGTGTGGCACTGCCAAATAATCTTCCCCAGTCACTGGTGAGAAAGGATTAGCGAGAGTAAAGAGATGTCCTTTAAGAGTTAGAGCAAACAGAACTGGCTCCAGGGACCTGCAAGACCCAGATCCATCCATGGGGCTTTCTATCGACTAATCAGCTCCCTGGGCCAGCCTTACCCCCACTCTCATATCTCCCTGTAGAGTTCACCCCCGCAACTTGCTTTCTCTCTCTCCTGGTGTGTGTTTGCGTTGAATATTCTCCTTCTCTGTTTCTCTCCCTCAGTTCCTCCACCTCTTCTTTTCCTTATAGCTCACCCTAGACCCTCTATGCACATTGGCTTCATGATAAGGGCATCAGGGAGTTCCACCCTGGTTCCAAAAATCATTTACAAGAATTCACCCCTTTCTGCCTACATCATTGAAATGCCTCTAGAAACATTTAAACTTCCTGTAAAACATCTGCTGAAAGCCTATGACAGCACAGCAGCACAATTCAATCCATTTCTCTTTGAGAGCAAAGTCTGGTGCGCAGCTCTAACCACAGACTATAATGAGTGGGACGAAGCGCCACCAGAAACTCTGCATTGTTTGCAATTGTCCACACAAACACTGAGCGCACAGATAAAGGAACTTTCCCAACAATGGCGCCAGAGGAGAGCTAGGGCTGTTACCTCTGCTGTTCCACACACAGAATTGAACATTCAG